CAAGAAACCGAAATATTTGAAACCTATTTGGCAAAACCTATCAAAAAGTTTTGAAAGGTATTAAAAAGTGTTAACTAATATTAATGATTATTTAACACTACAATCAGTAGAACAATGAACTCTATACAGACTAATAGCATTAAAAAACAATTTTACAATGTATTAAACAATGCATTTTATTAACTAATACTATTTAAAATATGTATTATTGTGTTAAGCAACTTATTTTATTAACTAATGCTATAATATATATTAGGCTATACAAAGTTAATTAATTGGTTCTTGTAACCCAGTTGGGTCAAATTTTGAAAATTTTTACAAAAAAATTTTTATATATTTTAATAACCAGGTAATTTTTAAAAAAAAATTAAGAAAATTTTATAAATTTTTATATATAAAATTAAAAAAAAAAGCTAGCTGGCCAGTCTTTTTAAGAAGCTTTATATTACAAGAACCAATAAATTAAATTTGTGTAGCCTTATTATATTAAGCAATATATATTTATTATAAAATATATATTTTTTTAATACATTAAGCAATACATAGCAAAGTCTATAACTAATATATAAAATATATATAATAATCGTTAAGTACTAATCTACTACATAATATATTGCCAATTAAATTACTTAAATTGTTCTTGCAATTTAATCTTCCTCATAATTGCTATCACTATTACGATCATTTCATTATCATCAATACTAGACAATTCATCATAGTTATCTTAAATCGCTATTTCTGATATTGTGGGAGAACTTGCAAGAGAACTTGCAATAGATATATGAGATTTTCCAGATCACGTAATCAATCGATTTCTGGTCTAAGTTGGGATCATGTGATCGCACATGCTCTTTTTTTGTTACACAGATCTAACTTCAGAATTAGATATATCTGTACGTATGTACTATATGTTGTATACTTTTCATCATATACTTTTTGTCATATTTTTTTTTTCTTCTTGCTTTTTTATTATTTTTTGCCTTTTCTTTATTATCTTCGCTTTTTCTTTCTTTTTCTTGTTTCTCTTTCTTTTTTTTTATGTTTCTTTTTTCTTTTTTTATTTTTATTTTTTTTCACTTTATTTTTTTTTCTTTCTGTTTTATTTTCTCTGCTTTTTTCTTTCTCCATTTATTTCTTCTTTCCTGCTTCCTTTTTTTTTTCTTGCTTTTTTCCTTTTCTTTTCACATCTTTTTTTTCACTTTCATTCTTTTTTTTTCTTGGTTCTCTTTTTTTTTTTTTTATCTTATATTTTCTTTTTACTTTATTTTCTTTTTTTTTTACACCTTATTTTCTTTTTTTTTCATCATTTTCTGCTTTATTTTATTTTATTTTTTTTCCTGATTTCTTCTTTTTTTACTTTCTTCTTTTTTCTTCTTTTCTGGTTTTTTTTTTTTTTCATTTATTAAAACCTTAAAACTAAAATCTGTAAATAATTTTTTTTAGATCTTGTAAGTACTGTTGGAAGGTTTTTTGTTGTTTGCTTTTTTTTTTCTTTTTGTCAGCTTAAACTAATTCTTTTTCTTTTTGTAGATTTAGCTTCGTTGAGCTTCATTAGAATGTCAAATTGTAGATATTAGAATACAGAATCTTGTAAGATAAGTACTGTTGGTGGGTTTTTTTTTGTTGGTTGCTTTTTTTTTTCTTGTTGGCTTGAACTAATTCTTTTTTCTTTTGTAGATTTAGTTTTGTTAGAATGTTGAATTGTGAATATTAGAACATGGAATCTTGTAAGATAAGTACTGTTGGTGGTTTTTTTTTGTTGGTTGCTTTTTTTTTTTCTTGTTGGCTTGAACTAATTCTTTTTTTTTTTTGTAGGTTTAGCTTTGTTAAAATATCGAATAGTGGATATTAGAACACAGAATCTTGTAAGATAAGTACTGTTGGTAGTTTTTTTTCATTAATTGCTTTTTTTTTTCTTGTTGACTTGAACTAATTCTTTTTCTCTTTTGTAGATTGAGATTTATTAGAATATCGAATGGTGGATATTAGAACACAGGATTTTGTAAAATAAATACTGTTGTTAGTTTTTTTTTATTGGTTGCTTTTTTTTTTTTTTTCTTGTTAGCTTGAACTAATTCTTTTTCTTTTTTGTAGATTTAGCTTCGTTGAGCTTCGTTAGAATATCAAATAGTGGATATTAGAACATATGATCTTGTAAGATAAGTACTGTTAGTAGTTTTTTTTTATTGGTTGCTTTTTTTTTTCTTGTCAGTCTGAACTAAATTTTTTTTCTTTTGTAGGTTTAGCTTTGTTAAGCTTTATTGGAATATCAAATAGTGGATATTAGAATACGGGATCTTGTAAAATAAGTACTATTGGTAGTTTTTTTTCATTAGTTGTTTTTTTTTTTTTTCTTGTTGGCTTAAACTAATTCTTTTTTTCTTTTGTAGATTTAGCTTCATTAAGCTTTGTTGGAATGTCAAATGGTAGATATTAGAATATGAGATCTTGTAAGATAATGCTGTTGGTGATTTTTTTTGTTGTTTGCTTTTTTTTTTCTTGTTGGCTTGAACTAATTCTTTTCTCTTTTGTAGGTTAAGCTTTATTAGAACATCAAATAGTGGAGATTAGAACTGAAGTCTTGTAAAAGCCTTCATGGCTATAATTTGTCGAATTTTCCTAGTACAGTTTTGTCTTTTTGTTGTGATCATTTTTCATGTTAAAGTTTTTGTTAGCAAGTTTTGTCTTTTCTGTGTTGTCGTTTAAGCTTTTGTTATGTTATTCTTGGAGCTTGTTAGCATTTAGGCTTGGAATTGGTTATGTTATATTATTGAAATATTCATTACATGATTTGAGTTATGGTTGGTTTGTGGTTAAAATAAAGATTTAGTAGTTGATTTTTTTTTTTTTTAATAATGATAATAGATAATGTAATGTTTTGTAATTTTTTAATAAAAAATGATACAATTTTATTTTATTTTTTTTTTAATAAAAAATTAATTTTTTTTATAAAAAGTTATGTGATCATATGATCGATTTTGATTGGCTGATCACAGAATCACGTGATCATGTGATTTTGGCATAGATCAGAGATTGATTAATTACTGATCTGGAAAATCTAATCTATATTCTGTATTATTTAGAATTTGCAGAACCTTTTTGTAAAACAGTATCTTAAAAAAATATATATATGTTCAAATTAGAGGTGCAGGTGTAATTCTGTAGCTTGTTATAACTACAGTATAATAAGTTACAGAAAAATATAGTAATTCATTATAGTTTTAACAAGTTACGAAGTTATATTAGCATCATTAATTCAAATAAATTGATAAAATCATTAATAAACAATATAATATATCCTCATTATCTTTAGTATTTAGCTTTTAAATCTATATATCGATAAAATCTGTATCAATTTTTGGTGAAAGATATTCCTTATCAAAAATAGTTTTAAGAACTACTTGTGTTCAAATGGTATTAGCTTGAGTACATTCTTTATCAAATACAAAACATACTTTATAATTAATGAAAGAAATATTTCAGAATTTGAATTATCTGAATTACTAGGATTGTATAAGTCTTTATATGCCTGCTTAGAATTCTTCTTCTATTCTCTCATTTGCTCTTTTTTGTCTTTTTTACTAAACAGTTTTATTTGATTAATACCAAAAGTGCTTTACAGTTCTTCTTTAACATGTCAAATATAATAATCTTTTTTTAGCCAAATTGCTGCAAGCATCTATATATATTAAATAAATTAAATATAATTAATATTTAAGAATTAAATAAGTATTGCAAGAGGAAATTTGCAATTTTAAAAATAGATTATTATAAAATTTATAATAATCTATTTTTAAAATTGCAGATTTTTTTTTGTGACACTCATATAAGTAAAATTAGATAAGATACTACTTCAGAATAAAGTTTAACATTCCAAAATAAATTAAACGAGACATTCTTATCATTTAATTTTTGTAATTGTTTTGTGCATTCTTCATCACTTTCTAATATCTCCTTAAACTGCTTCTTCATTTGGTCATTGCTAATTTGTACATAATTATAAAATAATTTATATGCTAGTTTTCTGGCTACATTTTATAATATAATATATAATATATAAATAATATGTATAGTGATATTAATATAAGACAAACTATTAGTATAAATAAAAGTATATACATATTTGAAAACAAATATCTTCAGGATTTTTTGAAGACTTTTTTCTTTGTCTTTTTTTATATTATCACAAATAATTTTGAAGTTTTTTAAAACTTTTTCAAGCTGTGCTTGTTGTTTTCTAATCAAATATTCGAGCTTAGCATAGTCTCTAAAAAGTTGATCAAGTTTTGCAAAATTAGTCTGCGCAATATTTAGAACCTTGTTTATAATACATAGATCGATAGTTGCTTGAGCTATTAAATAAAAATATAAAGTAATATAAAGTTAAAAAATAAATAAATAAATAAATAAAATAAAATAAAATAAAATAAAAAAAAGAAGGAAAAAACTAATTTAACGCCAGGTGTTTGAAACACAGGGTCTGTATAACATGTAAATTAAAATAATTTTATCAAAATAAACAAAATATAATTTAGCTAATATTAGGATTAGTATTTTTTCTTAAAGCTCCAAAGATGATTTCATATACAAAATTTTGAAATATCATTAATTTTTGTTTTTTTGCTTTATTTTTGTTACACAAAAAAATGATCTGCAATATGTATTTAATTGAATATTTTGATTGGCTTTTCTATTTAGTTTGTGTAACTAAGTGTTAATACACCTAGTGTCCAATAGAAATTGCCAAAAAAGAAAACATTATTTTACGAACTTGAAATTTTAGTAGCAGTGGTTTTTTTAGAAGTAGTAAGTAATGAAGATTTGATAATAACTTGAGGCTAAATTATATAAAATTTTATTAGATAATTTAATAAATAGTTGAATACTAATAAAAAAAATATGAATAAAATAACTTACTTTTCTTAAAACAATAACTTGAGGCTAGGTTATATAAAATTATATTAAATAATTTAATAAATAATAAAATATCAATAATAAGAATGAAACTAATTTACATCTTTTTCATTTCTTTTTTATTTTGTAACAAGCCGATTGTTGATAAAGTTGATGCAGACAATACTGATATAAATGATGCTAATTTAGAAAATGCTGATATGGAAGAAGCCTTTGCAGTTAAAGCTACTGAAGCTGAAGCTATTATTGATAATTTTGAAGCTGGTGTAGATAGTATTGATTTGGATGAAGTTGATATTCTGTATTTATTAGATATTACACCTTGGTCACCTAATTGTTTAAAGTATTTCAAAGATTGAAATTTAAGAAAATATCTGTATTTTTTTTTATAATTAAGCTGCCTGCCATGTTTATTGAGATCATAACTATTTGACAAATTACAAGAATTTCTCTCTTAGCTAAATTGATCTACCAGACCTATAACTCACCAAGCTTTCATCCAATGTGGTCTTCCTCAGTAGTCATTGGTCTCAATCTGGGTCTGAAACTTGCTTCAAACTTTTTCACTTCAATCCTCGGCTGGCGACTACAAGCTACTCGCCTTAATGTTGGCTTTTCTTTTAAGTAATTAGAACACATATACAAAATTAAAGAGCAAAATAAAATAAAAAGAAAAAAACACATCAATGAATTCTAATCTAGCTAAAACAAATAAAACCAAAAACAAAAATAAAGAAAGCAAAACAAAATAAAGAAAAGAAAACAAAAGATGATACTATTAAGCCTGTGCTGGACTGTAAAAATTATATAGTGCTACTAAAAACTAATCTAAACTCTATGCTAGTTATTTATACCTATATTAAAGATATCCATATTAGTTTTCTTTCTTTTTTTTTATATATTGTATTTCTAGTTTTAAATAATAAAAGTTATAAAAAAAACTTCTTTATTTATATAAAATTTATCTTTGTAAATAATAAGAACTACATAGTAATATTAGTATTTAAATTGCATGAATTATATGATATGTAATAATAAATATATTAATTAACACATTAAATGATCAAATTAATAATAATATTATTCTACAATAGAGATTTGTTAGTGCAAATAAAAACTTGTATAAAATTAAATAAATAATTTAAAATTTTACTTACTATAGACAATTACTTCATAACATCATATTTCATTACCAGTCAAAATGTAATACATCCGAATTAATCAATACTATATAGTTTTTAGAACTATTTTTATATTACAATGATCTTTGCTAAAAAAATATGACAGCATCATTATTAGCTCTGAGATGTATAAATGATTACAGATATCAGGAATAATTAGTAATATGAAATATAACTAATGTATACAAAAAGATATAGATTAATATTTATTTAATTACATATTAATAAAATTATAATTTATAGTATTAAAATTCATCATGTTGTATTGGATAGAATAATTTAAATTTATTCTTTGAAAAAAGATCAACTATATTGATATTTGTAAATCTATATCAACTATATCTAATCAATAAAAATTCAGACCTTTTACCTACTTTTCTCCAATATAGTAGTTCACATTTTCATCAACTTCAGTCCAAATGACTTTTGTAAAAGTCATCATAATTTGCAATCGTTTTCAGACAAATTGATTTGTTAAATGATAGAACTTGCACCTATATATTAAATATTGGGATATAACTTTTTTAAAATATTTTATACTATTAAACCAGTATTTTTTTTACCTAACAAAAATAGTGCTGCAATTATGTTAGTTTATAATAATTGATATATAATAATGTGCATTAAATTAAAATCATAATTTAACTCTAAGTCATTACAAATATTATATATAGATATCTTTTTTTTAAATAATGAAATTTCAATATACAAAGTATGAAAGGATATTTTCTTGTAAAGCTTCACTTTAAAACTATATGAAAGTTTATAATAATACTATTGAAAAACTCCTACAGAAAATAGCTGAAGAAAAAGAAAGAGAGCAGAAAATTCAAATAAAACAAGAATATTAGCAAAATGAAGACTAGCTAGCAATAAAAATAGAAAGTAAACAACTTAGAGGTGACAAAATAAGAATAGATGGCGAAGGTGTTGGAGATGACAAAAGTGTTGGAGATGACGAAGATATTGAAGACAACGAAGGTATTGAAGATGATGAAGGTATTGGAGACAACGAAGATATTAGAGACAACGAAGATATTGGAGATGACGAAGGTGTTAAAGATGATAAAGGTGTTGAAGACAATGATAAAACAAAAATAGATAATCAACTTGGTGATGAAAATAACTATAATTACTAGATAGAAGACCAACAAGAAAGCCAGCTCAAAGGTCAATTAGAAAGTAAAATAGAAGAATCAAGTAGTCAAATCTTGGTAAATATATAAAGACAGTGAAGTTAAACAATCAATTGTTTATATAACTTCATATGCATAACAAATAAACTTTATTTGTGATTAATATCAAATTTATATATATATATAAACTTTATTTGTGATTAATATCAATTTATATAAATATAGAAAGGATTTGTATTACTTGATGTAGAGCCACCTTTAATTTTTGAATCTCTTAATATCACCAACTTGATAAATGAAGAAATGAGTTTTTTTAGTGAAGAATTTGGTGATTTTATGAAGTTACTTATAAAATAGAACTTATCGAATGCATATGATGGCAAAATCCTTAAGTTTGCAAAGAAAATATCCAATAACAATTCAGTTTTATCTACCTCAGTAAAACAAAGTCATCAGTTTTTAGATCAAATGACAGTGCTACATCTTTTGTTTAAAAAAATGCTCATTATGACTTATAAGAAAGAAATATATTATCTAAACTATCACTTTATTTTTGATGCTATAAAGAAACTATTAAGCAATAAAGGTATATTTAAATATTATATCTTTAAATTTATACTACTATATTATAAAGAAGAAAGGATTTATTATAAACAATATAATAGAGAGTAGTGAGAAAGGGCAAAAAAAATAATTCCAGATAAAGCAAATATTTTATCAATACTTATTTACTCTGATGCAATAATATGTGACTGATTTGATAAAGCAAGTGAACATCTTATCTATTTAACATTAGGAAATATATTTGGATGGTGATGTAATAAACCTGATGCTAAAGTCCTTTTGGGCTACCTTTTACTTTTAAAGTTAAAAACAATAACTCAAAAAAAAACAAAAAGATTTTTGCTTGCTAAACGATCAGTATTTCTTTATGCTTTTGATATTATACTAGAACTATTGCTTAACTACAAAAAAATTAAGTTTAATCTTAAAATAGACTATGGCAATCTGCGGTATTACTCATTTATATCTATACTAATAGAAGATTTTCCAGAGCATTCATCAATAACACTAAAATATAATTTAGTCAACTATAAATATCCTTGTTATAATTGCTTAGTATTAGTTAAAAAGATGAACAATATTAAGTTAAGTGAAAGGCAAATTATATTAAGAACTCCGGAAACAATGAAAAATATTATAAATCAAGAACTTGCATATCAAAATTCTATATATAATATAGAAAATATTTTTTAGAAATATCTGTAAATAACAATTTAAAAATTTTACAAATTTTAAAATATGTTGAATAGCAATATTTAAATACTATTCAATATATATAATATTTTAACTAAAAATATTTGTAATACTGTATAATAACTTAATTATCAGGTAATATATATTATTGTATTTACTATTATAGTAAATAAATAATATATATTACTCAGTAATTAAGTTATTATACAGTATTACAAAATATTATTTAGTTAAAATATAATTTTTTAACCAGTATATATTTATTTTTATTAATGCTTTTTATTTTATTTTAGCTAACTAAACATTTACTCAGCTACGGTTTTAGATAAAATGCATCATTTAGATTTAGGGCTGTTTAATTATCAAGTAGTATATACAAGAGAGATGCTAAAAGAACTATGTGAACAGGCTGCTATTAATAAACTCGATCAATGTTTATCAAGAATTCCAAAGTTTTCAGAACTAAAAATTTTTAGCAAAAGTCTAAAAAACATTAAGCAGTTTATAACTAATGAGTATTGTAATATGATGAAAGTGTTTTTGTTTATTGTTGAAGATCTAATTAAAAAATATCACAAAGCATCAATAAAAACAAGTATTGCTAAGCATTATAATAGTGTGCTAATTAATATTTATTATCATTAGATTAGAATATATTTATTTTGCCAAAAAGAATTTTTTCTTGAATCAGATCTTTTAAAGCTTAAAGTATAAATTTTAATATATATATTAGTTAATAAATATATGATTAT